CATAAACAATTACAATATATATTTTTGAAAGCATTCTTACTTTACAGCATTTTTCACACCTCCCTAAAACTTTTGCACAGTACTGTATATACAATTAAGATTTACCTCTTTCTCTAAAGTTACATTGTGACTCTCTTCTTTCTATAATCTATCCTATCTAATCATCAAAACCATAGATTATAAGTTCATTTTTTTCTGTTTTACGCAAAAAGTCCATAAGGGATTTTAGGTAAGCAATAAACACAGATGTTGTCTCTTCTGTAATCAAACAGGTCAATTTGTCCATCTCAGCAAGTTCTATCATCTTCAACCATTCCTCCATTGTAGATATTGCCAAATCTTTCCATCTTTGTGCCTACAATAATCTTGCTGCAGTTATCATATATAAAAACAAAGTTCCATGACTTTTTTTCCAACTGTTTATCCATCAGTCCCAAGAGCAAAAGTTCTGGTTTCAGTTGTACAGGTGGTCCTCAACTTAAAATGACAATTGGGACTGGAATTTCTGTCGCTAAGTGATGTGGTCATAAAAGCATGACCACATCACTTAGTGACAGCAATCCCTGCAGTCCCGGTTCCTATCATTAACTAAATCTCATGGTCATTAAGCGAGGCAACTTCCTGCTGGTTTCCCACAACCAAAGTATTGGGGAAGCCAGCAGGAAGTTGCAAGTCCCAGATAGGCAGGTAAGTGGCTGCTGCTGGGTGGGGGAGGGAGTAAGGGGGTGTGAGGGGGTGTGCAAGAGGTGTCACACAGGTTGGGAAGGGTGCATAGGGATGCATGAGAGGTGTTGCGAGGGTGTGGGGGTGTGGCATGGTCGGGAAGGGTGTGTGAGGAAGGATGTGCAGAGGTGTAGCATGGGTTGGGGACAGTGCGCAGGGGTGTGGCGCAGGTCAGGAAGGGTGCACAGGGGTACACAAGAGATGCTGTGTAAGTCAGGGAGGCACATGGTATGGCATGGGTTGGGAAGGATGCATAAGAGGTGCCATGTGAGTTTGGGAAGGCGCGTGGGGTGCAGCATGGGTCAGGAAGGGTGTTTGGGAGTGCATGAGTGGCGGACACAGCTCAAGCGCAGAGGGGCTGGGGAGGGTGTGCCAATGGGGGAGACTAACTCCAGTGACTTGGGACCTTCCCTGCCGGCTTCCCCATTGACTTTCTGGGGAAGCTGGCAGGGAAGGTTGCAAATGACGATTATGTGATCGTGGGGTGCTTGGCAACCAGTTGTAAGTGCAAATAGGTTGCCAAGTGCCCAGATTGTGATCACATGACTGCGGGGGTGCTGCAAAGGCTATAACTTTGGGGACCGGTCTTAAGTCCCTTTGTTCAGCACTGTCATAACTTCGAATGGTCACTGAACAAATGGTCATAAGTTGAGGAATGCCTGTATATTAATCTTTAAAATCCTCTGAATCAGTGTATGCATTTGAGCCCCAAATCTAGCTTTTTTTGTATGTCCACCAAGCATGATAAAATGTCCCTTCTTTTTGTTCACATTTCCAACATAGATTTGAAGAACCTTTATACATTCTAGATAATTTTTTTGGTATCATATATCAATGGTACATCATTTTATAAGTTCTCTTTAAGCTTATGACATAGTGTAAATTCAATCCTTTTAACCACATATTTTCCCATTGTTCCATCTGTATATTATAACCAAAATTTTTAGCCCACTTTATCATACGTTCTTGTACTAGTTCTTCTGTTTCAAATTTCATAAAAGTTTATACATTTTAGCAATCACATGTTCATCATTTGTACACAATTCCATTTCAAAATCAGTTTTAGAATATTCAATGCCATAAATTATTTTGTCGACTTTGAATCTTTCTGATAACTATAAGTAGGAAACCATTGAAACCATGTCCCTCTGCCGTCAGTTCTCTTGATTTATTTTGTATTTCCTTGACAGAATTCTAGAATCTCACAGTATGTTAATCATTTGTGTTTGCCTATTATTTCTTGTCTATAAATTGCCTCTTGTGCTGAGAGCCACAAAGGTGTTTTTGGGCACAACCTGGATTTGTAACTATTCCACATTCTCAATATGGCATGTCAACATAGTGATTTTTAAAATCTACATTAACCTTAATTTTATCATACCACAGATATCCATGTCACCCAAATCTCAAATCATGTACTTCTAATTCTAAAAGTCTTCTGTTTCTCAGCAACACTTATTCTTTCATCCAACCAAACAGCAAGCTGCAAAATACAATTTCAAATCAGGTAAACCCAATCCTCCTTTTTCCTTTGCATTTTGTAACACCTTATATTTAACTCGTTTTTTTCCCTTGCCATAAAAACTTAGATATATCCTTTTGCCACTTTTAAATGATGCATCAGTTGTCAAAACAAAATCAATGTTCTAGGCTAAACATTCACTTTTATCACAGAAATTCTCCCCAACAATGGCAATTGTAATTTCTCCCATGTTAACATATCTTTTTTAACTTCATTCCATGTTTTAACATATTTTGTTTTTGTTTTTAATTGTTTTAACTTTGCATTGGATTTTGTAAACTGCTCAGAGTCTGTTGGAGTGGGTAGCCATAATCAATTCGACAAAATCAATCAATCACACTTGCAGATAACCTGTGGCAGGATTGAGATAAGGGTAGTTCATATATCCTAGCCCTCAATCTTTTGATGTCCTTCAGTACCATCAATTGTAGTATCCTTCTGGACTGGCTCAGAGAGTTAGAGGCACAGTGTTACAGTGGTTCTGTTCCTTATTTCAGAGTCAGTTCAAGTCAGCGTTGATAGCAGAGAGAGCTCCAGCCTTCAGCCCTTGTTCTGAAGGGTGCCTCAGGACTTGATTCTCTCCCCATTCCTATCTACATGAGGCCGCTAGATGAAGTTATCTGTTGGCATGGGGTTTTTGTCAGGACGCTGATGATACTCAGTTATATATCTCAACTCTTGGCCACCCAAGCAGTGCCACTGAGGATCTGTCTTAGTGTCTGGAGGCTGTGGGGGGTCAGAATGATGGGGAATGATGGGGAATAGGCTCAGACTCAACTTAGTGAGATCTTGGATTTTGGATCCACCTGGAGTTTTCCAAGGCTTTTTTTTAGCATACATTTGAAAAACATAATTGTTCTGTTTTTAAATCTCTAATCAGTGTCTGAACTTATACAGTATGAGTTGAATCCAGCAGTGCCCTTCTGTTTGCAGAAGATCCTTCAGTTCATTGAAAAGTGTCTTCTAATAAATAGTAGGAGCAAGATTTGCTCATACCAGAGAATCCCTAAATCTTCTGGAGCAGATTTTCTTCAGAAAAAAAGGAAATTGCAAAAAAAGTCTCTCTTCCATTAGAGATATAGGAAGTGCCCTTTCTATAGGTAGATCTAACTCATAGGAGTTTGGTTCAGATGCATGTATATGGCAAAGGTTTCGCACATTCTTTTTTGTTTCAAGGTAGCAGCTTATTCCTGCATCAAATGTCCTTTTGACTGTGCTTCTCTCCATAATAACTTGAGAGATATTTATGCATCAGAAAGCTCTTTAGGACTGCAATCCTATGCAAACTTCATTGAGAGTAAGTCCCATTGAAAACAGGATTTTACTTATGAGACCGTACATAAGACCATACAGCCAGAACTTTAAAAACCTGCTTTATATATCCAGAAAAAGCTATGTGCTAAAGTCCAGAGATGCTGAGAATCTGGCAGCATATACATATAAATTATTATTCTTGTTAAAGTCTTAACTATATGTATCACTATTTACAACACTGAGTGGGTAAAGTGTAACATCATGTGTTCTATTTATTTTATTTATTTAATCAATTTATATGGCCACTTAACTCTGAGCTTGCATCTGCTGTATTGTAATTTCAGAATCAGGGTTTACAGAAGTAATTGTCATAATTGATTGACAACTTTTTCAGGTTATTAGAATTTTCTGTAAGATATTGCTTTATGTGAAAATGAAATCCATACTTCTATTAATTATCTTTACCTCTAATCATAGAAAATCTATCCCCAGAGATTCCATTTAACTGCATCAACTTCTATACCCAGAGTCATCCAGGGCTAATTAATCTGGTATGTACCATGTTCACATGTGTTGTGTTGATTATGATTTAAATTATATTTGAAAATCTTTAGATCAAGAATGATTTTTACCTAGTATTATGTAGGAACAATGAACAGTTAGTGATACAAAATAGGTGCATTGTAGGATCTTGTCTGGATATCATATTTTTAGAAAATACCTTATATTAAATATAGAGGTAAAAGCGCAGTAATTTAATGAGGTTTCTAGCTTCTTATCTTGCCCCCATTATTGTGGTGAAAATGATAACCTTACTGATGAAGGAAAAAAGGTTACATCCATGTATGGCCTTACCTTTTTTTTAGTAGTTGTAGAATGAGAAAGTGTATTGTTTAGAATGAACAGACCATCCCACAAAATGTCTTTGAAAGAATGGAACAAATCTGTAGTACAGAAGTTAACCATATATGCTTTTTTCATATATATAAAAAAATAAGTCTATGATCTCTGAGTGCTGTTGCTGAAATGGTATGAAATAGATGTTTAAATACATGTATACATGAATAAAAAGGTTGCAGTGCATCAAAATAATCTGCTTGTTTTGTGTGGGAAATGAGTTTGCTGAATGTTTATCCATATTACAGCAATGTGTGAAATGTGGACTATGTGTACGCAATTTAAACACCTAAGCACATGTGTTTAAGGATTATGGTTTCTAGGCATGGATGCAGATCAAAGCATTTTTCTGGTTTAAATATTTGCTGCAACAGAATCACTGGAATAAGTATAGGGCTACCTTAAGTAGGAGTATTTAGATTAGTGGATTTATTCCAAGGGAACAAAACTTTCAGAATCATGTTATTTTCCTGATTTTAATTACTATTCAATTATTATGCAGTTGTCTATTTTGCTAAAACAAGTAGGAAGCTATGTCTGGTAGTAGATTTAGTAAGTATGTATCTGTCAACTAGACATACACTGTATTTGATCTTTGCTCATCATGATGTGCATGATACCAATAGAAGCAAATATGTGTAGCTCAGAGTTGAACTGTGGTGTCCTTGGGGTTCTCTGAGGTTGATTCTTTTCCTGCAAACGTTTCATTACCCAGCTAGGTAACATCTTCAGTGCTTCTTAGCACTGAAAATGTTCAGTGCTTCCTAGCACTGAAGATGCTATCTAGCCGGGTAACAAAACATTTGCAGGAAAAGAACCGAGCTCAGAGAATCCCAAGGACTCCACATGATGTGCATGCTAGTTCAACTGGAATATTTTTTACACCTTTTTGTGTAAATGAATGTTTTTTTTTGGTCATTACCACCACAGCAGCCATTCTGTGAGAGTGCCCATACAGCAACATTCTCAAAAGTCCAGAAATACTTATTGTCTTAAAAAGGTTGGGAACCCTGTCGTGGTTATTTTAGCTTCAACACTTCCTTAGTTTAAAATATATTTACATATAATTTTAACAGGTAAAAATTAAATTAATTAGACTAGAAATAAAATATTACAAAATATGTTATAAATGTTATATGTGCTACACTGAGGAAAGATATAAAGATCCTATTCAATAAATGTTAATAGTGTAGCTACACAACTGTTACACAGAAGATCTACATAAAAATATTTTTCCACTTTTATTGAAAGTAGAAAAAATGCAACACAAGAACACTGAAGATAGAATTATACTAGATATACATTTGGATATGTGAATATTACAATGTGAGATAATATAATTTTAAGTCTTTATAAGTGTGGCTTAAGTGGGAGTAGATTTATAGAACAGCCTGGATTCTGGTTTTTTAGAAAATATGCATAAAATTGTATGACTTATTTTAATATTCAGTTTTAGACAAGGTTTAACTTGTATTGCAGACATTATAACCTATAAAATACACAGATCAACAATTATTGCTTATACTAAAGTTGGAAAATGAGGTGACAATACATCCTTGTTTGGAATAACTATCATTCATTTCAGTATGACTTACTGTTACAAAAATGTGCTTGGGATTGCAGCCTTAATTATTGTTTTCTGAACCAATCTTGTTTTTTCTCTTCCAGTCATATCAAGAGATTACTGAAGAGGAAGAATCTCAATCTTTGCTCCCGTAAGTACAATATCTCTGATAATTGTAAGTGATTTTGCAAGTGCTAAGTTGCCATATATATTGTCAATGGGTTGCAGCATCCAACTGAAAAATAGCACCATTGATCTTTCTCTCTCCCTCTCTGTATATAGGATTTATGGTATATTCTCAGTGCTGTAATAATTTATTTTTTTTGCTTAAATATACCTTCATCCAATAGATTCTAATGTGACATGCAGTGCTTTATATCATGGAGCACTAAAAATTATATAAATCATAATATGAACAATAACATGAAATACAGCTAATACACATCTGTACACATGTCTGTGTATTCTGATATCCAAATCTATCTGGAAATAGAATATCCAGGGACAATTCCAGGTATGTTTTAAAATGGATATAGAAGAGTTGGGAGACAGAAAGGCTGGAAAAGTTCCTGTGGCCCATAAAATGTCCTACAGACAAGTTAATTTGCCATAAACTCATCTCAAGAACTCTGCTTTCATTTCCTTCTCTCATTACTCCTTCATTTACTGCTTGATCCTGCCTGCTTACAGCTGAATGCCTGAGATAAAAATGACACAAAATCAGTCAGTAGTTCAAGCTGCTTCATTCCTCAAAAGGAAGAAATTGTAATAGTGAAAGCAGCAACCTACAGGGAAGAGCAAAATATTTATTTATGTGCTTGTTTCACTTATTTAGTACAAGGCTTATATTCCCCTCAAATTGCAACCAACTCTGAGTGGTTAGATACCTAAATGCATAAAACATAAACCAACAAAACCCACATCATCACCTGCGCCATCCACCAAGGAACAGCCCAATTTAATTTCAAAGTTCCCCTGCAAAAGAGTCAGTTTTACCCACCAGACACCAAAAACTTGCTGGAGAAGCCAGGTCTTAATTCCTTTTTGAAAGCTCAAAAGGGTGGGGCCAACCTGATCTCTAGGAGAATGGTATCCTAGAGAAGGGAGGTTGTGATTGAGAAGACCTGACCCTGCAGATGGGACTCTTCAGGGATAAAGACCAGAGGGAGCACTCTCTTTAAAGGATAAGAAAAAGTTGCTGGAAGTAGCTGTTCCTAAAGATGCTCACGCCCTGAGCTATGTAGGGCTTTATTTGATTTGCTGGTATATTGTAGACATACAGATGTAGAAAAAGAGAACTCATTGTTCATCCATAGGACTATGTGACATCTCTTAATATTTCATCTATGCAGATGTCTGTTAGGAAATATTTCAATAGTTGTGAAGAAGTAGTACAGTCATTTGAATGAATGGGTAACTTCAGAATTCCTATCTTGTTTGTTTACCTGGACAGAATTAAAAAGAGGAATTTTAAATATTATCATTGCATGCTATTTGGAAAGAGAAAATTCTAACTTTTTAGAAGGTACACATATATATCCTGATTGCTATCTCAGAGTAAAATGGATTCTTGATTGCTGTCTATTCACATACTTTCAGATTGCCCTCAGGGCTTATCTTAAGTATTTGCCCTTTAGTTCCCCCCCTCCCAGAAAAAAAAGTCCTGTTTTGTTCAAGACTTTCTTTTTAAAAGCCAAACTCTTGTGATCTCCTGTTTATCAAATAATGTGGAAAAATATAGACAAATTATACCCATCATATTTGCATATTGAAATTTCTATCCTATCCAGGAGAGTAACCCCAAGCACAATTGATGTATGTGATTCCTTTGTTGTACTATCCACATTCAGTGTTGCTTTTGGATTATCTTTGTTTGATGTATTTGACTTCTTGAATCAAGAATATAAGAAGAGATCTGTTGAATTAGGTCAGCAGCCCATCTTATCTAGTGTTCTGTGTCATACATTGCCTAATCAAATATATCTGAACATGAACTGTGTAACTGTCTTTCACTATTGCTCTTCAGCAGCTGGTATCTAGCCTAGTATTCTGTTTTTAATAAAATAAAAAGTGAAACCAGAAGCTTCTGGGGTGTCCATAAGCAGGTGAGGAAAGCAACAAGTGTTTCCTGATATTTTTTTCCCCAGTACCTCAGATGCTGGCTGCTCTCGGTCATGGAAATTTAATTACTAGACGTTGCTTAATTTTATAATGGAGAAAATGTATCAACATTAAGTAAGAAAATAAATGTGGTTCCTATAACTGCATAACTATATCCATTGTGTATGTAATTAAGTGTAAATTCTTGAGCCTTAAGACCTAAATCATCCCAAAACATACTTTACTTTAATCAGAATATTTTTTCCTCTAGGATTGAGATAAACAATGCTGTCAATGCTACAAATATTTGCCAGCTTGATTGTCTGTCAGCTGCTACTGTACATGGAGAATATAAACTTTGTATTGGTATGTTTTTACAATGAAGTTTAACTTGGCTAAATGTAGATATTATGAATACACAGAAAATATTTAAAAGTGGGAATGTGTATTTGTATTGAAACATCATACAGGTAGTCCTCAACTTATAACCATAGTAGGGACTGGAAAATTTGTCATTAAGCGTTGCAGTCATTAAGTGCGGCATTATGTGACCACAACCAATTTTACAATTTTTTTTGCTGCGGTCATTAAGTGAATCACAGTGATTGTTAAGCAAGACATGTGACCCCAACTTGTGGCCTTCCCTGCTGGCTTCCCAATGACTTTGCTTGTCTGAAGCCAGCTGGGAAGGTTGCAAATGGTGATTGTGTGACCGTGGGGATGCTACAGTGGTCATAAGTGCGAGGACCAGTTGTAAGTCACTTTTTTCAGTGCTGTTGTAACTTCGAATGGTTGCTAAACGAATGGTCATAAGTCAAGGACTACCTGTATAACAAAATAAGGAACTGTGTTGTTTTGACAATTCAACTTTTTAGAAATTGTGTTATAGATGGTGTTCCATTATTCTGCTTTCAGAAGAATGAGAAGTTGTATTATATATTTAATTAGATTCAACTATGCATTATGCAGAAAGATCTTATGTTACAGTTGGGCTTGGACTTTCTGGATTAAAGGAACAATGTGCTCATTCTGTGAAAAATATAAAAGCCATACATTAAGGTTAGTTGAGAATTTATTTGAGAATTCTCATAGATAGTTCCTAAATATTTCTTATTTAAGAGAGGAGTTTCTTATTTGGATCAGGCTCATATTGAGGAATTAGATCTAATAATCGATTTGTGCAAACAATCCTGATCACTCTTCAAAAAAGTCTCATGAGCCTGAAGCTACTTATGTTTCCCCATGACTGCTGCTTATATCACATCTAATTTGATCATATGTTTATCTCTGCATGGCTAATAAGTTAAGGAGAGGACTATATTAAGTAGTCAAGTGGATAAGGGCAGATTCCTGGTTCAAAATGACTTTTATCCCTACCTATGACTGTTTTTTAAGGTAGGAAAAACCATATAGAGTTCCAATTGTTGCATTTTCACATAAGGTCTTATTTTGATCTCTCTGATTAAGAGCTATAGTAGTAGACTCCTTGTAAAGCAGTTCCTGTAAGGAGTTGGCTTCCTGATAATGTAAACAGCAAAAATAATGAAAAATATAGTAAAAATGGCTGCTCTTCCCTGTTCATCCCATAACAAATTAGAGAATATTACTTTGGTTACCTTGATTGAACCAACAATGGAGTTTCAGATGGGAAAGGAATTGGCTTACTAGGTTGCGAGGTTTTTGTTTGCTTTTATCTTTGTTTTACCGTTTAAAAGCTGCTAGCAGGTTTTGTTACACTTGCAGAATCCAAACTCTGGCTATCATTATTCTTTTTCAAAAATGGATTGAGAATGGCATTTCTGAGCATGTCTATTATAGGGCAGTCCCCAGCATGCATTGGGGAAGGACATTGTCAACCAGAGCATTACTCTGCCCTGCCCTGCCGAAGTCTCATCCTAATACTTGTATTTGGAGAGGTAGAAAATAATTTTAGTTGAATTAAGTGTAAAATTAGTAGACGCACATTGGTAATTTTACCAAATAGATGAAGGGTATGCTTTTTTTCATATGGAACATTCATTGGTGGATAGTAACAAATAATTTCATATTCACCCTGGATTTAGAATAATCCAGGTAGTAAATGTAATTCTCATGTTTTAAAGAATGTTTAAAATAATAAATATAATGATAAATTTGAAGTATACTTACAAAAGTTTAAAGTATACTTGTCTGTTATTGTTCTAGGTTTAGATTCTAAAGTGGCTGGAGTTCTAGAGATGTCAGACGGAAACGTAGGTTTAGTAATGGTTTTCTGTTTGTAAATACGTAGTTACCTTTTGCATTTTACTATATTTAATGAATGTGTGTATGTGTGTGTGTGTGCTGTAAAGATAACAGTTCTTCATATTTAAGGACCACTTAAAATGACGGCATTACAAACCTTTAGTTGAAGAATATTACTGTTTTTACACAGATCAGAGGCATCCTATGAATCATATAATGACATAGTATCTAGTGAGATAGAGGTTATTATAAAGCATTCTTCAAAAAGTTTTGTATAATGCTAAAACTTGTAATACATTGGACCCATCAGGTAATCCATATGGCCATTCAAATTATTCATTCAAGAATTCATCCACCCTTCCTTCAAATTCCAAGGATGAAAGACAGTACTGTTGTTTTTTTTTAATATGTAAGGCAGCAATTTTGTGTGTCATATTGTCATTCTAGGAGGCATTGAAGAAAAAGGAGTAAGGCTCTCTTCAAACATTCACTGCTGCTGCCACGCACCGGACTTATTAAAAGTTAAAAGAAGCTGCCAATGATATCTCATCCACTTTATATAGCTTCCTCTGACCCTGTTGATCTGATGATTTTTTTTTCAAATTTAAGAAAAAAACTGTCAAAAGAGTGCTAGACACAAAATTGTTCTGCCAAAAAGGACAGTAAAACAAAGTGGATTTTTGAGGTTACATACATCACTATTTAAGGAATGCCCAGATTTTTATTCCTAACGTATTGTACATGCTCCCCATTTTTTTCCCCAGAACTCTGGCATTGTCCAGTATATTATAGGGCCATCGGATGCTTTACCCTATTTGGAATTACATA